TGGTGGAACCAAGGATGATTGTACTCAGGCCCTTGCACTTGCCAGGGAAGCACTTTTTCTACTGAGCTATCTCCCTGTGCATCATTTTCTTATCTGTACAATGGGACTGCAAAGAATACCGCCAACTCCTGGTGTTAAGAGAATTAAGTGACCAGAATAGCGAAGGTCTTGAGACAATGCTTGGCATGAAGCCACCAGCATAGTGGTACTGGTGACAGCCATAACAATGAGGGGAGAAAGGGATAATATTTATTATATTAAAGATATTTCTCAGTCTGCAGGAAATCTGGGGGATTTGGAGCTGAAGAAAATTTCCACGTTCAGAGCTCTTGCCTTTTACTCCTTTGCTAAGCCACGGCATCAGTTTCCTTTCACAGACCTTCACTGTTCCAGGTTTGTATGGACAATTTTCGTTAAGAAGAAACACCAAAGAGCAAAACATGTGGCTGAGAATTATAAGGTTTCCTTTTTTTCTCTCAGGCCCTGTAACCAACTTTGCACAGGGACTGCCTCTCCTGGGCCCAGTACAAATCTAGAATCTACTTGACTGACAAAATAAAATGCAGAAATTCTTTCCCACTCTACTGTTTTTTCAATGGACAAACAGCACTTTATCCAGTGCCCTTGGCCTTCAGGCAGCAAGCTCTACATCTGGGCATACTACATTATAACTGTGCTTTGGAAAGGAAGGCTTGTGGTTGAAAGATACTATTGCCTTACAAAGTTAAGCTAATCTCTTTTAATGTTTTACTTGATATTAATATTCATAAAGCCATGAGTCCCCCCCAAGGGTTTATCAACCTCTTAAAAAAAGATAAATGGAGTTGTTTGCATATTGACCCTGTACGCTTCCCCGCTTGGCAATCCCACTGCTTCATGAATATCAAAAGCAATATAAAAGGAACATAAAATCAGACCAACTTGTTCAAATACATCAAATGAGCCCATGTGTCAAAATAGAGGTGGCGTTATTATTTCTTGTTTGTGCTTCAACAGGAAGGCATTATTAAGATTAGTGAAAATATTTGTGCTGTGCAATATACGAGCGATTTATTTCCCGTTTCTACTTCTCCGAATGAATAGAAACCTTAGTACAAACCTCTGTTGTCTCTCACTGTGAAATTCGGGTTGTGTATGATTTCAGGGGGTAAGCTGAAGATGAATCTCGGCCCATTGGCTGTGTCATCCTTGTCATCTGCACTAATTGTAACAATCGGCTGAAAAAGAAACGTGGTCCACAGCTAAGTTGTGATGACTTTGGAATATCGCTTATTCAAAAGTACCTGGATAGCTAAAAGGCTGGGTTTTAATTAGAGAATATAGCTTCAAGGCAAACCCAGGGCTATAAAAATTCTTTGAGAGGCAAGGAGGCACCTCCTCTCCTGATGTTTTCAAAACAAACCTATTTCCCAATGCCTGACTCATATCCAGGGAAAGAGAAAGCATCTTTACCTGGTTGGAAAGTGGTTTGGTCTGATCACTCTCACAAATGAAGCCTTCGTAGGGGGCAGCAAACTTAGGAGCATTATCGTTGACGTCAAGCACTCTAATGGCCACGGGGACTTTGGCTTCCTGGTGACGATTGTCTGATAGGAGGGAATGCAGACAGTAAGCAAATACCAGGTAGGAACTATGCCCTGGTCTCCACTCACTCTTGGGAAAGAAGAAGCTTCAACCACTCAAGTGGGTAGTGCAGGGAAAGGCGTTATTACAAAGGCCACCTATAGGCTATGCTGTGTTAAATTTAGTGGAGGGAGAGTGACATGGAATCAGTGTCAACTAGAGCAGTAAAAACTAAACCATTTACCCACTTCTGCTGACGAATATCTTGTGCTTTAATTTTCGAGGCTAATAACAGAGTTGAAACATTCCAAAGCCTACTCTATGATAGCAGTTCTCAAAGTGGGCCGCTCAGAGCAGCATTGAAACTATCTGAAAATGTGTTGGACAAGCCACATTCTTAACATATATGTCAGATCTGCTAAATCAGAGGCCCTGGGGATAGGGTCCAGAGACATTTGTTATGATAAGCTATGCATGAGATGTATGGAGGGCTTCATGCATGATTAAGTTTGAAAACTACTGTTCTATAGGTAAATAAAAATATGTAAGTCTTGTCTCTAAAGCTTCGGCTTTCAGTTTACCAGGATGATCATGCATTTTAAGTTGCTGAGGGCTATCAGGTATCTTGCCGAGTCAGTACTGAATTCTGCCAAAGTAAATGAAAACATCTCTATTTGTCTATATATTCCTAGATACCTGAACATAAATTTTAAAGACTAAAATGAAAAAAAAAAAACATTGAGACTCTAAAAAAAGCCCTTTTCAGCTATTTTGTTTCCTAGAATATGCAGTAAGTCTGAAGGATTAATATTTGGTGAAGCAAAATCAAAGCCCTTAGGAGAATACTTACGGATTTCGGCTGCAAAGACAGAGATGTTGAGCCAGGCAGTTTCTTCTCTATCCAGAGGTTTTGTGGTTTTAATAAAACCATCCTCTGGATTAATAATGAAAAACCTGTCGAGGTCAGTATGACGATCAATTGAATACCTAAGCAGAATGCAAATGAGGCAATTAGACCAAGATATTCAGAAGACTTTAATATCTGAGTATTTTCTCTGTTATAGTTAAAGCAACTTTTTCCATGAATAGCTGGAGCAGTTTTCTTTTTAATCAAATTTACTTTTCAAACTTTGTACATGAATCTTTTATAGGAATCACCTTGTAGCATTGGAATACTTTATTTAGTACAATGAATGGAAAAGCATCTTAGCATATTTGATTGAGAAGTATAATAACGTGTTGCATATTTCTCCATATTTACTACAATCATCCACATCTGAATATTTATGAAATTGCATGTGGGAAGTGAGTTTGCCTTGCTTCCAAACTACTCATGAAGTCACAAATGTACTAAAGCTTTGACAAATTTTTGCATATGAAATATTAAATGGTTTCAAGTTTATCTAAATTCATCATGAAGGTTATTTATAACCCTGAAGTTCAGTTTTCTCTCTATTTAAAGAAAAACATTAACTATATTTTCAGTGAGTCTCTTTACTTTGTTTAGTTGTATCGATTCTCAAGTAACTTGACTCTGAATTCAGTGTCAACACACCAAGCAGGACTGGCCCAGCCCTGTACTTGATGGGCTTTCCTTCTAGACTTTACTGATTCAGACTATGCCTAACAACACAGCTGGAAGGCTTTACCTCCTCCTGGCCACTAGAAAGTTTATCTTTCATGAACAAAAGACAAAAGAGTTTCCAGAATAGTATTGGATTATACATATGGCAAGGTTTAAAAGAGAGATGGGGAAAGAAGAACCACCTATATTGAGGTGCAGTAGCCTATATCGAGGTGCAGCAAGGTAAAGTGACTCGCTGAGACACTCAGAACTGGCAAGCTTCGCAGCTTCACTTTCAGTGGGTTTGTTGCACTCCACAGCCCTTTCCCTTTTCAGCATAGCCTACCATTTCCCAAATGGAAAAGAGGAAAATTGGGTTGTGCTACTTTGGTAGAGTGCTGGGTTTCATAATTGGCTAACTTCCTGCTCCTAGAGGTCTTAACTGGGCTTTCCTGAACCAGAATACCTATGTATTACAGAATTCATACAGTTTTATCATTGATGATCAAAAATTTAAGAATATTAGAGGCAGAAAAGACCATGGGTATCAGAGGATTTATCCTTCTATATTTAAAAAAAAATGGGATTTACAAATGTTCTACCTCTAATTTCTAGAGGAGGCAAAGGTGGAGTTGAGACCTTTCAACCTAAATAGCAGTTCCTTCCAGAAGAGACAGAGCACCTGCTAAGTGTTGCTTCACAGGGTATAAAGCAGGAGCTTGTCCATAATGATCTTTGAATTCAAAGTTACCCCTGGGAATTTAATGATGAGTCTCGTCCCTGACTGGTAAAACTAAATATGGTCATAAATCTCATAAATGTCAATAAGAACTCTAGCTCTCATGTGATATCACTGTGTGAAAAGCATTTTCACTTATTTCCTGCCACCAAGGAGCTTACTATTTAATTGCCAAAACAACTACACATTGTAGGAAACACAATACGTCAAGACATTGTTTAATATCATTTAAGACCCTGGGTTTTGATTCTAGAAAATTCTAGACATAATTACATGCCCTAATACATAAAAACTGACTTACACACTATTGAATAGTATGTTATCGTATGCTATGGCTAAAACGTATGGTTTTTAAAACATAACTGTGAACAAGTTAGAATTCTGAGTGAGAGAGCCAAGGATCAGTAGGACCCAGTGCATGCTTTGTTATTTGTGGGAGGACTGGGAGGCTCCTCGATGGTTTCTAGCCTAAGTGCCTGAAAGGTAGATATTAAGGGACACAAGAAGAAAATTAACTTAGCAGAAAAAGGAAGTGCAAATTCAACGCAAGTTTGCCTGCAATGTTCTAAGAGCAAAGATTCACATTTGTGGTAGGCAGGATATAATTAGCTTTTTTTAATTCTTAACTATGTCAAAGGAAGTGTAGACTCAAAATATGTTTTGAATCAATGGGTGAAGCAGTGAAGGAAAAGTAATTCAGTAAAAATGCACAGCAGACACTATGATAAATACAGAATTAGAATCAGGGAGGAAAATCAGCCCAGAGGCATAAAACATGGAGTATCCACTGAATCCAATCATAGCTTGAGTAAAAACACTATCTGTTAGTGGAAATAGAGAGAGAAAGGTCAAAGTACAAAAGCTGAGCCTTAGGGAGTCCTCAGAGCTTGAACTATGATCAAAGACACCAGGTATGGCATTATCTGAGGCATGAATAAGTAAGTGCAGAGGAAGCTAAAAGAAGAGACTTGTTTCAGAGAGGAAATGCAAAACAAAAATGTGTCTAATGCTATAGAGGCTGAGAAAATGAAAAGATCTTCAGGTACAACTGACTGAGTTTGAGCAATAAGGTCTTACCTATATGTCCAAGCTCGAGAATCCCTCCCAAGATGACAAGAAGAAATCAAGAAATTAGATTGTAAAGATAACCAGTCCAATGAATAAAAAAAAAATTGAACATTCTTTCATAATCTGCCTGACAATTCTAAAATCAGAAACCAAAGTTGATGAGGTGGGAGGTTGGCTCAAGTTCAATATTGAGCATCTTGGATAATTATAGAGATGGAAATTGCTTACATGCCCAGAAGAGTTACCCCTGCAAACATGGCCCAAATAACCAAATGCAGATGTGGATCCTTGGCGACAATGAGGTGCACAAAAAATACATAGTTGTTCTCTGTGCTTGTATATCTTCACTCTTCTAAAGCATTGCCAATGCACCTCAGTATTTGAAGTCAAGGATAACTTGTCTGTAATTCATATCATGAACATTTTTTAAAGGTATTTTCAAGGTGTTACAAGGACTTCCAGTCATTATTTAACATATCTTTCTGCATGAAAAGAGCAGAGTAGTCAAACCTCCTGAGTAAATATCTCTATTCATGACCAATGAACAAAAGTAAAGAGCTTAGAATGGACTGAGGCAAAATGACACGAAAATCCATCCTCCAACACTTGGTGTTTGATTCTAGGGAACTCATATAATCCCTGTGGATGAAGAAATTCCCATCTGTTGGGTCCTAGCACTGTCACAAACTCAAAAGATATCCAGAAATATTAGTGAAATAATTCATGAAACATCTGGATACTCTGAAGACATTTTGAAAGTAGTAATTCTTTTTCTCTAGGACAGTGTTAAAAAATCCAACACACTGGGTGTTACAGTTTATGTCTAGTTGTCCCCCGAAAGCTTCATGCAGTCACGGGGCTGCTTCTGGAGTTTGCGATTGATTATTGCAAGTGTGGATGCTGCACCTGCGCTGGGGCAGGTATTTTGCATTACAGTGTAAGGAGGGGAATGAGCCAAGCTAGCTACCAAAGCTACCAGAGCTGCTGCCACTCCCTTTGCTCTCTGCTCTTCGCCACCACCATGAAAGCTTGCTTTTTCCCACGTGCCACACCGCCTTGGAGCCAGCCGAGGATGGACTGAAACCTCCATTAATGGTACGCTAAATAAACCTTTCCTTCCTTCATTTTGAGTGTTGGGTACTTGTCCCAGCAATAAGAGAAAAGTAACTGAGATGCTGGGCCAGGTATATAGCTCAGCGGCACAGCACCTGCCTGGAAAGTACAGGGTCCTGACTTTGATTCCCAGTACGTACACACACACACACACACACACACACACACTACAACACACTGTTGTGAATTGCTCCAACAATCATATTCTTTGATTTAAAAGGATGGGCTTCATCGCCTATGGTGAATGTTTTCATATTCAAATCACTCTACTTTTTATTGCTGATGTTTTGTTATAAATAGGTACGCAGACAGGCTACCAAAAATGTACAAATTTCAAAAACAGAAAATAGGAGGATCACTACAAGTCCCAGCTGCCTAACGAGACCCTTACCAAATACTTTTTAAGAAAGTATTCATAATTTTTTTCTTTTCTTAAAGCATGTATACATCTTACCCCCCTTCCTCTCCATATACATATACACGTTTTCGTACACAGTGACATTTCACTAAATACACTGCACAACAATCAAAGAAATGTTATTAAATTATTCACCTTGAATATTTATCAATATTTCATGAGAAGAATATTCAAACCCTTACTTCCAGCTACATGAGTCAGATGATACATTATTGTCAGCAATGGTCACGGTCTCTTTGTTGTGGAATAGGATACTAATGTTTGTTCCTCCTAACTTTAACACTGTTCCACTAGTTCCACTCTTCTGTCTCTGTCTCTGTCTCTGTCTCTGTCTCTCTCTCTCTCTCTCTCTCTCTCTCTCTCTCTCTCTCTCTCTCTCTCTCTCTCTCTCTCGTTGTCCTTCCCAGCTTCTGATAACTAGTACCCCACTCTCATTTGTATGCTCTCAACTTTTAAGATTGTACATTTTTAGTGTCTGTTCCTTTGCCTAGCTCGTTCCCTTCTGTGCTCATCCATGTTGCTTGCAGTTGGGAAATAACAAGATTTCATGCTTTGTTACAGCTGAGAAGCACTGCATTACATCCACACACCCTACTTTGTCCATTCATCTGTTAATAGACATTTAGGTAAATTCCATACCTTGGCTATCATGAACAGTAGTGCAATGAACATGGGAGTGCAGCGCTCATGTCAACTTATTGATCTCACTTTCTCTGCATGTCTATCTACCAGTGAGATTGCAGAGTCCTATTTCTAAGTTTGGTTCTCCATGATGGATGTCCTGATGTGCTCACCTATCAACAATACATCAGAGTCTCTTCCCTTAGTCTACATCTTTTCTAGCATTTGTGTTTTGTTGTTTTTCTTTTAGAGGGAGTGACTTGTTGATGACAACCACTCTAACTGGAAGGAGGCAAATTCTTTCTGTGGTTTTTAATTGTATTTCCCAAGAGAGTTAGTAGTGGCAAACACTTTTTTTATACAGCTGTTAGCCATATGCTTATAGTCACTGTCTAGTCAAGTATTTGGTTTTGTTTTTATGTATTTTGTACAGGGTCTCACTGTGCACCTTGGATGCTTAGTGATCTTCCTGTTTTCAGCCTCCCCAGCACTGGCATTTCAGACATGTGCCACCATACCTTGTCTCCTTGGCTGGCTGTGAGTGCCCGGAGGTGGGACTGGTGCAGCATTGGTGCTGGGGATCAAATCCTGGTCCCTGCACTTGCCTAAGCAAGTACTTAGTCACTGAGCTATCTCACTCGCCCATCAGGTTTTTGTAGGTATCCATCCCCCTTCTCAAGTACACTAGGCACTTTGGTAGATTCTCACTAATAGTTTTTGAATACAAGTTTAAATGAGGTCATCATTTGTATATATGTTTTATACTAAAAAATGAGAATTTGAATTTCAACATCAAATCAAATATCATTTCATTTACTTATTACTAAAGTATTTATGCTACATCCACTCTGGTATACATTGTATTTACCAGAACAATACAGTCATGAAATAGATCAGAGGTCAGAAAACCTGTTGAAGGCTAGTACACAGGTTATGTTGGACAGTATGTAATGACTCTATCCAGACGATCCAACTCTGCCCTGTAGTATAAAATATGAAAGTAGTCCCGAAAACACACAAGGGAGTGATGTGTTGATGTCCTTAAAAACATGTGTGAACAAAAATAGGTAGTGAGAACAAAGTTGGAGGTATAGTTACAAAGTTGGAGATCATAGCTGCTGACTTCAAAACATACTACAAAGCGATGGTGCTATTTGGAATGGCAAATATATATATATATATATATATATATATATATATATATATGCCAATAAGGTAACATTGAATCTAAAGATAAACCGATACATCTATAGTATATTTTCAAGAAATATGCCAAGATAATTCAGCTGGGAAAGGACATTCAATTGCAAAATGGTACTAATAAACTGAATGTTCACATACAAAATAGATCACTTATAAAATAATGTTCACACATAAAATAATATTCACATATAAAAAATTAAATCTAAGATATTTTCTCACAGCAAATTCAAACATTAATTTTAAATGGATTAAATACTTAAATATAAATGCCACAACCATCCAATTTCTAAAAGAAAAATAAGGTATAAGTACCCAAGACCTTATAATAGGTAACATTGTGACGTATAAATACCAAAGCAACCAAAATGAGAAAAAGATGGACTTCATCAAGAATGAAAAATTCTGTACCACAGAGATAGAGTCAAGAAAATAAAGAGATGAATGAGAAGGAGAGAGAATGTTTACAAGTCCTGTGTCTTATAAAGCTCTAGAACATAAAAATATAAAGGACTCAAAGCTTTTTCAACAATAGAAAGTGGCACATTACAGCATCAAAAAGCATTAGAATAGAAATTTTCCCCAGAAAGATACACAAATTGCCATAAAAGCACTTGGAAAGATATTCAGTATCAGTAGTCGGTAGGGAGCGCACAAGTCAGTCACAGGGGCATGTAATTTTGTACCCACAAGAATAATGTGAAAAATCACAAGCAGTCCCAAATGTTGATGAGGATGTGGGGAATTTGGAAGTCTCGTGTAGTGCTGATGTGAATGCAAAATGGTGCCGCCATTGCGGAAGGCTTTGTGGTGATTCTGCTGATAGTTAAACACACAGTTACTGTGTGAATAACCAGCCATTCCATTTCTCAGAGCTGAAATTCCTCTAAAATACATATAATATTATATATATGCAAAAATTTGTACATGAATCTTCATAGCAATAGCACCTCTAGTATTAAAGAGGGAAAAGAAGCCTAAAATTCACAAAATTGAGCATAGAGTAGCAAAATATATTCTATCCCTAAAATAGAATATGATTTAGCAATAAAAAACAATAAAATATATGTACATTCTATAACATAATAAAATTCAATGGCATACTAAATGGGAAAACACAATTAAATAGGAACAAATATATTATTTCATTTACATGTAATGTCTGAAATAGAAGAACATACAGGATAAATTAGTGGTGACTGATACTACTTTTTTTGGGGGGGTGATGAAAATGTTCACGAAATAAGTAACAATGATGTTGAACAATCTTGTAAAATATGCTAAAAGCCAAAGCATCATACATCTTCAAAAGAAAATTTTATGCTTTCTGATGTATGAACTTCCAGGGATGGAGGAAGAGATAAAGAATAGAGAAGACAACAGGAAGGATAGAAAAAGAAAAGACAGAAGGAAGGAAGCAAAGCAAGTGAGGTGTGGGCAGACCTGTCTGTGGCCTATACACTCTCCATTTCTTAACTGGAAAGATACATCCCCAGGTCTCTGCCTGTGTGTTCCTTTGAGCACAGCATACAATTTAGGATGTCACTCTGATGCAATGGAGAAGTTGAAGAGATGACAGCAAATGGAAAGGACACCTGCTCTATGCATAAGAAGCCCTAGAAAATGTTCTAGAAGATGCGATGCCAAAATGGAGCTAGGGGAAGAAATGAGCACAGGATGGCAAGTGGAAAACTCAGAGAGTAAAACTGCGGGAGTACACACAAATTCCAGGACTGAAAGAAAGGAGACGTGCTTCCGAGGATGGTCCTGCAGGCAGGGAAGGGGCTGTGGAGATCCGCAAGCTAGATAACACAATCTAGGTAATTTTGGCTGTGAGAGGTAACAAGGAACAGTTCAGTCATTGAGTTGGGGTTGTCGTTAGTGGAGGTGCTATGTGACATTTGCATACATGTTTTATAATGATCTCTGGCTTACAGGACAGGGCAGAAAAGGTTGTCTGAGAAGCAGCAGGCAAGAAGGGCATGAGGAATCACAGGAAGGGAAACAGGGAAGAAAGAAATTAGAGGGCGAGGCAGAGAGAAAGGCTGTGGGAGAATCTGATCTGGGGAAGACATCACACAGCTGTACGTCTGCACCCTAGTGATGCTTGCGTCTGTTCTCCAGGCCTTCTCCCAGGCTCATTCTCACTATTCTCCTCTCCTTCACTGTCCTTAGCTCAGGTCAGGGATGAGAGTGCAGAAGGAGGATTCTGCATTTATTTTCTTTATTTTGCACATTTTCTTCTAATTTTTTATTAGCACAATTTAGACCCACATAGCAATAGTGTTGATCATAGGGAATTTGTACCTATTCATGATATAACTTGTTTCTTCATTTTCTCATTGTGCTCCCCTTCCTTCAAATTGTCCCCTTCTTATTTAAAAAACCTTTGTCTGCATTTTCCTTCTATTTTTTCTTGTTCTTTTTTTTCTTTCCCCTTCTACCCCCTCTTGTTCCTCTTCTCATTTGACCATTTTCTTCCCATTTCCCAGTATCTCTTACATTCTTCTAAGTCACAAAAATGCATTCATAATAATACAAGTCTCCTAAGTGTATTTGTCCCTCTTACATTTTCTAACGGCTCATGACCAGCTAGAGTTTTCCTCCCTAGCCTGCTGCTCTCTGGCTGTGGCATTCGGGCAAGAGACTTCATCTTGCAGAGCCACAAATTTCTCTTGATTTAAGATATAACATGTCATGTGATAATAAAGTTGAGGTGATAAATCAGATCATGTCTAACACACCTAGTAAAGTAAGTGGGGCATAGGAAGGCATCCAATAAGTTATAATTACTGTAATTATTTCATAATGATTATTTATACTTGACTACAGTCCTTAATTCAGACAGGCTTAGCTAATGATTAAATAATCTAGAATACCTTGGAAAATCTGCTCCACAGAAAAAGTACGTAGCTTGAACAAACCTGTGCAGAAAGTAACAGAGGTCAATGGACCTCACATGTTCTAATTTTAATCCTGTCGAAGTTACATTGAACATGATAAACTTGGATGCTTTCTGAAATAGAATGATGTGGTTCCCCGGGGACTTCCCAAAGCCTCTTTGCTCCAAAACTCCCCATCCACCCTCTTAAAACTAATCCATCCATACCTTACTGGGCTGTTGGCAGCATCCGGGTCTTTGGCATGCACTCTCCCAACCACAGTGCCGGCAGCTGCATTTTCTTGGACTTCATGGATATAACTTGGAGCTAAGAACATGGGGGGCTCATCTACATCTTCAACAGCAATCTTGACAGTGACAGTGTCCTTGAAAGGTCCGTTGCTTATGAACTTCGGGTCGAAGTGCACATTGGCTGCCTCTACTTTCAAACTATATGCTCTTTTGGTTTCAAAATCTACAGGCTGACAAAAATGGAGAGAAGATTGACAACTAATTCCATGAAAGAATAATGGAAGAGAAAGACCTGATTGTTTTATAGGGCAAAGTAAATACTTCCTCAAAGAGAGAAAATTGGTATCTGTTCAATATCCAATTACCTAAACCATTTGGTCAGAAAACCAGATGAATAAATTCCTGAAATGTGGAGTGTACATAATGGGTAATTTAAGGGCCATGACTCATATAGAACCTGTAAACCATCTAAAACAATTCCTATTCTATACAGTAACACAAAGGTCTCCCTAATCAGTTACTAAAAGCCATCAAAAGTTGGGAAATAAAACAGAATAAAATATTTTAGTCTCCTGTAAATTATTATAGATCTTGTTAGTATAACTGCCCACTGAGTTTCAAGTGTGTCTTATTTGACGATGGCCTTCCCCTCCCCCATGAACACCCAACCTTTTTGCTTTCATCATAGTGATAACTTGCCTCATTGTGAAGTTTCTGAATATACTGTGTTTTGCAAAATATTAAAACCTCTATCAGATGCACCCATAGATTACTTTTAGGTAACTTACATATAATTTTGATAGGAGGTGCTGTTAAATAATACTAACTTATTGACATAATTAATGTTTTTCCAATTCTCTAAAACCAAAGCACCTTGAAATAGCACTAATTTTTAACATATGTGTTCACTTCTCAATATCTGTTTTCTGAAACTAAGATATTGCTCTTTAGTGAAAATGTAATGGCAATTTTGTTTTACTTGGATTCACGGTTAGATTGCCTTCTACTAATGGTAAGTGATAAGATAATGAAGATAATCCTTTATTTTAAAAACAGTGAAAAAATATCCATCGAAAGAAAAAAAATGATCAGTACAGATTCTCCTGAAGATACAGAATACAACAGAGAAGGAGCATTTAAATGACTGTGGTATAAGAAAATTCATGGTAAACATCCCTTAATTTTGAGCCAGAGAAAGTACAATCAATCTGTCAGCAAAGGGTAAAAGTAAAATTATAGCACAGAAACAAACCCTAAAGCCTAGGAAACAAGTTTCTAATTAGCACTCTGGAAGATTCTGAGCTACCAAATGTTTGGAAAAACCTTTATCATTTAAGGCAAGCATCTGCTTGACACACCACTACCATTTGCCTGGTAAACATTTATTCTGAATGGGCAGAGGACCAAGGGGCTTAGTTCTGAGCTAATCCTGCACAACTCCAAATCAAGAATGATCCTAGTTTTAGAAACATTAAACATATTCAATATTCTTACCACTTCTCCTATCATCCTACCACATCCATCTTCGAAGCAGGGAACAATCCCCTTTCCTAAAGTTAAATCCATCTCCAGAATCTTCATCATCCTTGGTGAACCCAATGTGAGCCATCCTTGGTGGCTCCTTTGCTCTTGGCATTATTATTGAGTAATAGAAAACAATATTATTTATGAGCTAAAGGTATAAGATGGCTACAGCCTCTCAGAAATCTCTGTAACTGAGGGAACTGCCCGCTCAGGCCCCCCTCCTGTCCCTCTATTGGACAGGAGCTTTCTTTCTCTCAATAAATATATTCTGCTCATAAAAAAAAGAAATCTCTGTAAGTATTAGAATCAAAAACTGGCATATGTAATATAATTTGCAATCAGAAAAGATGATGTTTTGGTCTATTGATGCCCCTATAACAAATCTTTTTTAACTTGATTTGAAAATATGCCTAAAAGCCCAGAGCTACATTCCCCCTGGGAAGCCCTATGGATGCTGAAGAGAGTAAAGTCATGCTGCTTGCTGACAGGCAGACTTCACTTGGATGATCCCACGCTAGGATCTTCAGTGTCTTTTCCAACCTGGGGAGCTGCTACTCAGTCTTCTGGCAGTTAGCCCAAGTCTCCTGGCCTTGGGAAGTCCTCCTCAGCAAACCAGGGTGGTTGCCATGGTCACTGAACTGTGCTGTGTACCCGCTTCCCTCCCAGGGTAGGTTAGAAGCAGCTCAAAGAACTCTGCTGAGTTTTGGTGATCTTTGCTGAACTTTCCTCTCCTAAGCCCAACAATGGCTACATCAGTGAATGAATCTATGCATCAACTGTTTAGAATAAATAAAGAGCTAGACTGATGGATAAAATTTAAGCACTTATTTACAATTTATTCCCTTCCTTCTTCCAAGAAAGGACTGGAGGTAGCTCCCCATGTGAACGTTTATATCCATGTACGAGTAGTTGAAATAAAGCTAAATGAGGCAACACACTGCATAAGCCATAAAAAAACTAATATTAATCCTCACCTCTGAAAATTCTCCCTCAGGGATTAATTCAACAGAAAACTCAAACAAACAGAATTCACAAATGCATAATATTTGTTAGATATGGTAGAGGCTTGTATCTAATCTGGGGAAATATGCATATGAAACATCAAACCCAACTGTGAGATTTTATTAAGGAAATAATGGTCCATCAATAGGATGGGATGTTATGGAATCATTAAAAATGATTACGTATATTATATAACAGCATGTAAAGTGTTTACAATGTGACATGAAGTTAACAAATCAGATCACTCTATGATTGCAACTGAGCTAAATGTTATGTATCCACATCTATATGTGGACAATGAATATGAAGAGAAAATAAGGCATAAAAATACTTTTATTAAAATAGAGAATATTTAAAGTGCCTCATAACGCTATTCTAACACTGCTTTACAAGTTTATTTGTTTGGAAATGAACAGTTCAGAGTCTGTGCTGGGATTTCTCTGCCATAAGTGGAGTTCCTACTTGGTCAAGGGTGTTCCAAAGAAAAGGTTAGATTTTCTTCCCTAAAGTTACCAAAGCGCCTTCAAGCTCATCTGTGTTTAACCCTATTCTTCAGCTGTCCACATGGAGATGGACTAAGTACCCCAAGGGTAGGTTAGCTTTCTTCACTCTTAAATCTTGACGTAGACTCTAAACTCTAGAAATGTGTATTATTTTCTAAGTGATTAAAAAAAAAAAACCACAAATGAATCTATCAACTAACTACTTTTGGAATTCTACTCCTTTGCTACTGTCCCATTCTACCTTCTGTCTTCCTTGGTTCTTTGTGATATGTGTCTTGAATGCCAAAACCAGGTTCTCAATTGGTCCTACACTATCTAAGGTCTAAACATCCTGCAATCTTCCTAACATGTCTTGTTTTCACAGATTCTAGTCCTTCATGAGGTTTTGTTGTTGTTGTTGTTGTTGCCTTTTCTCTCTTTATCCATCAGGAAAGTCTTACTCAACAACCAAGACATGACTCAAGAAACAATCCTCTTAGAAATTCTTGACCCTCGTCAGACATTTTTATAGCTGCCTTTCTGCTGGGGAGTGATTTTGATCCACTCACACCAAGGATATGTGGTCATAACTAGGGCTGTGTTTTGTACCAGGACTGTGGAGATGGGGTGGACTGAGCACTTACTGACTCTGTTAAGGAGGAACCTGCATGTAACTGAACCTCCTGCAGTGCTCACAGAAGACCCTGCCACAAAAATTACCAGGGCCCGAACGGCAACACTACAGTGAATAGAGGGTGGGGCTCTAGTTCATTGTCATTTTCGCTGAGCTATTCTATGAAATTGTGATGTCCCCATGACCAGAACTTCTTCCACTTGAGATTTCCAGCTTTTACTACACCAGATCTTACCTGACAAAAATAACTCAATAGCTCTTAGAGGAAAAATAGACAAATAAATAAGTAAAAATACTGAATTAAAGAATATGTTTCAAATGCAAAATAGTTGTCTGATCATGCCACATCCTTTTTTATTATTAAACTGCGTGTAATGACTTCCAGAAGGACTCAGATCCTTCTTTTTTTTAACTGTTTAAAAACATTTATTTATTTATTTGGCATGAGTCTCACTATGCAGCTTGGAGCCTCCTCAGCCCTGGGATTACAGGCATGCACCACCATGCCTGGTTTCAGTGACTGGCAGGGCACGCTTGGGGTTCTGGGGCTGGGAGGGAATGTGGTACCGGGAATCCAACCTGGGTCCTTCCATTTCCCAGGCAGGCACTTAGACCACTGAGCTGTCTCCCCAGCCCAAGGACTCATATTCTTACTCTGTAAAATTCACCTTTGATTTTCCCCACCTCTGGTGAACATTTATAGCTTCATGCTACAAGCATAAGTAAATGTCCTTTTGCCAATGAAACAATATCTTGCATTGTTTTAAACCTAAATGCTAGTGCTGTTTAGAAGAATGTGCCATTGCCTGCAAAGAATATACTGAATTGAGGGAAAGCACAGAAATTAATCACATGCAGATAACTCATTTGCCACGTGTGAGTTCTATGAAGGTGATTTAAATCTTTCAGGGCTTTAGACTCGCAGTGTCTGCTTGTGCCCTGAATACGCTGGAAATAGGTGACAACTTTAACATAATCAACTACCCAATTACTCGAGCAGCAAAGAATGGGAGGGAGGAATTGCTGGTATCAACGCTCATATGCCAGTGTCAAGCGAGAGAAACAGTAATATAAACTAACAAAGTAAGTTGACAGCTCGAGGCTATGTACAATTCACACAATTACTTTTGCAAAGGAGAAGGCAGAGGAAATCACTACCCCAGCCCCGTGTGGCAGAAAATAAGGCTACCCCTGTCAGGCCATTGATGATGCAGTAGTAAGTGTCCCAAGTTCACTTCAACTTCTGTGGCTTCCATTTTCTTTATTCTTTATAACAGCCACTTTCTAGTTTCTCTTTAGTCTGGGTCCCCTCAACATTCTCTCCAAACCTAACAGCTTGAAATGTTTTAAATGTCACTAGTCTGAAGCATAGCTCTCCTTGTTTCTCTTTTTAAAATTTTCCCCAGGGCCCCACCTTCCCTCTCTTTACTCTTGTCTTTTCTTCAACTACTGGCCTGTTTATTGATTCTTCAAATCAATTTTTCATCAGTGTTACTGCCCAATCTTCCCCACCATACAAAGAAGCTTAATATTCATGCTACAAAGCCAAGCAGAAAATGAAAATGCTTGATTAAGACTAGTATAATCCCATCATCCAATTCAGATTTAAGGCTTCATATACTTTAAGGATGGAGATGTACTGATGCCTAAGAGGTAAAAAGAAGAGGTACGTTCTAAACTATATTGTAACTGACTCTTCACTTGAAAGTGAAATCATAACTGACCTGCCTTTATTAGTTTTTTCTGGCTCAATTATTTGTAAAATGTTTTAAGATGCAAAATGTTTCAAAATATGCTAGGTATGAATTTCATGTCTGTGACCATGATTACATCAAATATTTAATACCTCTGAGTCTCAATCTCAAAATTAAATTGGAAGTATCACAGTTCATTGGGATATTAGACGAACATTTTCTTGTTAAAATAAATGAGATGATGTAAGAGATTCAAGCTGTGTCTGTCCAATAGGTAGTATTGCATAGATGTTACATTTATTTTTTAAAAGGAACAAAACCCAAAAGAAACAATGGGCTTTTCTTTATAATGAAATAATTTAAGAGCCATCTTTCTAATGAGGATCTAGCTGACTATGAGGATGACCCCATTACTCTGACTTCTTTCTTTACAATTTAGAAAGCAAAGTAAAAGTAGATTGGTTTAAATTTCACAGAGGGTCCAACAGTACAGCAAACCTGAATTGCCTATAATGAGAGGATTTCTAAACACAGTATGTTAAAAAAAAAAAAAAACTGCTGCTGGGCACAGCTAAAGGAACCCAGAGCTGCTTCCCTAAACTGTGTTTCTCTAGCTGCCTTTGCATGTATAGAAGCATGAGAACCAAGCTGCCATCTCAGGCAGGCACATTCAGCCCTATTGTCAGGTCCTTCTCCAGTGACAGAAAGAAATACCGTTCTGTTATCTCTGTGGAGCTTGGTGCTCAGTCGCGAAGTGAGATCAGCCTCCACTTACCCACCCATGCCCTTGATGCCCTGTTTCCTGCAGCATAGCTTTGGCAGAGTAGCCCACAAACAGACAAGCCCATTCTTCAGCCTAACTCACCTTTTTCAGCTTCACCACGCCCTCTTGGGTTTCATAGTCTGTTGTGATTTCAAACAATTCCATACCATCTCCATCAACAATATTGTATGTGACCAAGCCATTTTCTCCAATGTCTGGGTCTTTAGCTTTCATTCTTCCTACTTCCTCCCCTGGGACAGCTCCTTCTGATACAGACATCTGGTATACGCCTGGAAGAAGACATCTACTTTTATTTTTCCTTTTATTTGGCAGCTGTAAGACTTCAAATTGCATTGAATCCCAATAAATTTCTCAAAGGGTTTGAAATTGAACTTTCTATTGATTGAAAATGTGAAAAAACAAAATGGATTGAAGGACAATCCCGGATGGCCCACTTGCCAAAAGAATGCATTCTATGAAGGAGGATGAAGCAACGTTGGGACCTTGGATGAAATGTTGGGGTCCCTTCCACAAGTGACAATTGAAAATAATGTCCAGTTGCATTTCTTAACAGAGAATGATGGAGACCAATCATATTGTCATACTGTCACATAGTTGATTCTTTTTTTCATGTCTGCAGCATGGTCCATGACATTAACTTCAAGAATTTATGGCAGTTCCAAAAAAAATAAAATAAAAAATAATGTATGGGGCCGGGGAGATGGCTCAGTGGAATAAGCGCTTCCCTGGCAAGCGCAAGGGCATGAGTTCAATCCCTGGTTCCGCCAAAAAAAAAAAAAAATTAAAAAAAAATAATTTATGGCATAGCCTAGTACCCAGGAAAGAAAATAATACCAAGCCAAACAAGATGGCTCCTTTATTTAAAAGCCTCAAAAAAAAAAAAAAAAAAACACTTCTGTCTATTTTTTAATCAAATGCAAAATTTGCCTTTCATAATCTTGTCTCTTCTATACTTAGTTTCCTTTTTATTCACCTCCTTCAACCCTAGTCCAAGCATGAAATCCTCAGGAAAGATTTTTTAAAGTTTATTTCTTCCACATTTGCACGAATGTAATATTTCTTGGGAACATGCTATGTAACTGATATCATCATAACCCCTACAAATTCAATAGTAAGCAAAACAGTCATGATTCTGTCAAGCAAACTAAACAGAAAACACAGGTATGTACATATTTTGATACCATTGCCATGACACTAAGACAGGAAACAAAAACATTGTAATGGGTAGGGGGAAATGAACGTGTGTGGTTATAAATACAGGTGGAAGATGATGTATGAGCGCGATTATGTAAATGGAATAGATGAACTGCATTGGTGGGTGTGAAAGTGAGTGAACAATTCCACGTATAGAGCAGGCAGCACATGAGTGAGTGTGCAGATGAACACATTGCATATATATTTAGGTGAGTGTGTTTATGGATGTGCATGAATATAAGCTAATTTGCATGCTTGCATTAATTACATGAGGGTGGAAACGAGTGAGAGATTCGTTTTGAACAAGATATCCAAAAGAGATCTCCTATCAAAACAGGTATTGAAGAAACTGAGCAGAACAAGCAGCTCTGAGCACATATCTAAGAAGAAACCTTTCCAGGTCCAGGCAGAGCAAATGGCAATGATCCAAGTGTGGGACCATCTCGGAAATATACAGAAGTAGGAAGAGGACAAGGGTGGCAAATGAGTCTTTTGCTCATAGAGAAAAGTGTAGAGGTAGGTTGGGGCTCATGTGTATTTTAAAAAATCATTCTAGAAGGTGAAGACTTCATGCTGTATTTAACTTTAGGAAGCCTCTGGGAAGTTTTCAGTTTGGGTGTGATATTTGACACTAACCAATTTGCATCTTCACATTTTAAAGATACTCTGCATGGGGAAAGACATATTAGCCAAGTCTTTGGTCCTGCTATTCACCTCTTTGAGTTTTAATCTCCTTTGGCACACACTTTATCAGTTACAGTAGCATATTTATAGGTTCAGTTTGGATTTATATTCAACTTAATCTCACATGCCTTTCATACTGGTGTGGTGGAGAAGTATGGAGGAGAAGATAATTTCAAATGTATAGGAAGGTTTTGAAAACTTACTATAAGATGATTTTCTCCAAATCTCATTCAAGTTTATGGCTGTGAGCCTCATACAGCTGGGGACAATTGTGATACACTTTTACTATATGACTGTCTGAGAAAGGTACTATTGGCTATGCACCAAGCCTGCTTGGCCTATTCATTCCAAATCATCTAACAGTTGCACAGTGTGAACAGGGCAACTCGTAGATCTTAGAATCTAGTGGTGGCCCTTAATCTTTCTGGGGATCCTGAACTTTGTTCTTGGAGAGGCAAAGTTTCTACTGTGCTACCCTCTGAGAATTGACAGTCCCCTACAAAACTGTTACCCTTTTGTAGATTGCTGTCTGTGGATTTCTTTGCATAATTATGGTATGTATCTCCCTGAGGCCATGATTCACTATGTCTCTTGTTCTCTCCTCTGCAAAAAGCACAATCATTCTGCGAATATGCTCACAGTCTCAGATGCAAAGGCCCTTTTCTAGTGGAAGTCCTCTAGTCCTAGTGACACGATATTACACCTTTGCATTTGCCTCTACATACTGGAGTAGATCTGTTTTCAAATTCTAACTTGACCATGTTCCTTTGGACACATTCCTTTAGCTACATTCCTCTGGATTTTATAGAACCCTGCTTTATCTTTAAAATGTAAATGTGGACTTTTGTAGAAATTTAGACTAGTGATTGGGTGTTAAATGACAACACAAGTATCTGCAATTAAAATTATGTATTTATGTAAATGTAGTTTTTCTTTCAATTTCCATAGCAATTCTAGACATTTTGTAGAACCCAGATAACATGTCTAACATGTGTTGACAACTTATGTCAGATGTCATAAGATTTTACACTAGTTTATTCTTAACAATAATCCTGTTAACTAGGTAGGGTGGAACACTTGACTTTGTAAAAAACAATTATGTTGATATTGGTTATCATATATGCTTTTTTATCAAGACAACTTTGCATGGGCCAGCCAGATAGTTCAGCGGACTAAAGCTCCTGCTTGGGCGGAGCACAGTGGCTGGGGTTCAATAACCAGTGTGCCGTGCTAGCCCCACCCCCAGGGTGTGCTGATATGGGGATTGAGACTGGGTGTAGTGGCAGGCATCTGTAATCCCAGTACTGTGGAGACTGAAAACAGGAGAATCACTATGAGCCCAACCTGTGTAGTGACACCCTGTAGACCCTGTAGAACCTGTACTAAATACATTTTTAAAAAAGACAACTTTGCAGAATTCTGCTTAAATTCTGACATTCTTAACTCTACACTGCAAAGAAAGGTACATGACTACAGAGGCTGGCTCTCGGGAAAGGTAGTACAGTCTGTGCCTGGTGTTCTAGAGGCTCTTACTGTCAGCCAGGCACAGAGACACCCACATGCACAGGAATCAATAGTACCTTGGAACTTCCTAGCCATGCAAGTAAAAATTCCCAGAAGTCTTCCATCCCTAGTGGAGCTGTCCCTAGCTGATGTCGTGAGAAAGACAGAAAATTTTGTATTCAAATTTTGTATTCACAGCAGAAATAAATAATTGTTACTTTGAAACACTCTTGAACAGTTTGTTACACAGCAAAAAATAACTGATTCTAGTACTGGTATATCCAGCTTAGTAACAAGAACAAAGAAAAGTTCATTAAGACTAGATCACACAGCTAGTATCTAATAAATCAAATACCTAACACAATCAATCTTCTATTCCCAGTGTCAGAACTTTTTATATCTTTTCTTCCACTATCTGCACTCCATGCCAGTTGTGTTATTATTGTCACCTTGCATTTTGCAAAAATGATGTCATGCCCTCTTAGTTTGGTAGATTTTTCTTTATGTAACACCGCATAAGGCAGGAACAGGTAAGAGAAACAGGTGCGCCGGCTGTGGCAGGCCTGAACAGTGCAAGCTCAGCCCACCTACTTACTCTGAGGAAACTTTGGTGGGTTGTCATTCACATCGGTCAGGGTGATCATCACTTTGGTTGTTCCTGAGAGCCCGCCCATGTGTCCGCCCATGTCCTTGGCCTGGATCACCACATGGTACTCCTCCTTGGCTTCCCTGTCCATGTTGGGGAGGGCTGTTCTGATGATACCTGGGCAGGGAACCAGAAGCATGACATGATCATTCACATAGAATACAGCACCGACATGCCTTGGATGCTAGGTAGGTAAAGATGAATAAAATATTTTAGATCCTTAAAAAGAGTCAACAACTGAGATCTCACCCCAGAAAGAATGGCTGACGTCAAGAAGTCAACCAATAACAAGTACTGGAGAGGCTGTGAGCAAAAAGGAACACTTCTGTACTGTTGATGGGAATGCAGACTGGTACAACCACTATAGAAATCAGTGTGGAGATTCCTTAAAAAGCTAGAATTGGAGATTTCACTCAAACCAGCTATTCCCCTCCTGGGCATCTTTCCACAAGCACTAAAAACCTCATACCACAGTGATGTATTTGTACCCATGTTTATAGCAACACAATTTGTTATAGCTAAATCCTGGAAACAACCCAGATGCCTATCAGCTAAAGAATGGATAAGGACGATGTGGTATTTTTACACAATGGAATATTATTCTGCTATAAAACAAGATAAATTTTAGTCTTTGGTCAGTAAATGGATGCAACTAGAGAATATACTCTTAAGTGAAATAAATCAGACCTGTATGTACAAACATCATATTGTCTCCTTAGTGTAAGAACCAGAAAGAGAAAAATGGAATCTGAAGGGTACAATAGATACTGGAAAAAAGGAATGAACTCATTCAAAATGAAAGAGTTACTGCATTGAGGAGAAGGACAAGAGAGGGAGTGGGGGAAAGGGATAAATCTATGTATATAAGCAGGATGCTTTCAACAACTGCACTGTGCACTCCTGCTGGTTATGTAAAGAAGCAGTTAGTGCTTCAATTTGTTTCATCTCCTTTTTTCAATTGTTTATACTTTTTCTCTTCTTAATTTCTCATACATTTCTTTCTTTTCTTTCTTTCTTCTTCCAATTTTACACGCCTATATCTGGTAATATGAATAGCTGATTGGAGGACAACTCTGCATTACAACAAATACTGTGAAATTCATATTACTTTGGTAAGTAAAAATTTGTATCAGTTGAATTTTTTTCTGTTTTAATTCCAATTTGTACTCTCTTTAAAAATAAGAATAAATACAGATGAATCAAAAAAAAAGAAAATTTCAATATGATGAAAATAACCCCAACCAACCATTCCTGAATCATCCTTGTTTTATTGAAGCAAGTCATAAAATTACCTACAGAGCATTAATTTTATTTCTCTATACATGCTAGTAATAACCTCAGGTATACAAACCCTGAAAATTCAAATATCTGAATGACCACTGTGTGGATATCTGTGAGTAAAATCATGTTTCTGACCTCAAGCTTACTCTTTTGGAAATCTATTTCCACATGCAATTATTACAAACATTTTTATACTCTATATTATGTTTAAACTAATGGGCACACATTTCATTGAACACATTAAAAATTAATATTAATTTATGACAAAGTGAACCAAATGAGTCCGAATTATGCACAATGCTTATGGAAATATTTACTGTCTAAAATAACCTGTCACTGACAACAGTAGTCAATTAGTAATTGAATTCTTTGTGATTGCTGAGTACTGAAACATGCTTTTCATGAAATCTGGGCTCGCTTCAATCTGCAGGGGATTTGTGGCAGCTCTTCTTCTCTGTAGTTAAGGTAACATTTGTACTAGAAATACAAAAACAATCCTGAGGAAAGCTTAATAGTCCCTGATGTTGGTATGTTTCTGTGCAGCATCCTAGAACTCACTGGCCTTCATTTTCCATATTTACTGAATGATTTTATAGAATCAAATTGGTAGTTATTAGCCATGAATTCTTGAGACAAAGAAGGGTCAAGGGTTTTCTCCTTAGCACCTCAAAAGTCTGAAGTGCATATTTTCCTTGATTAACCTGGAAAGGACAATGACAAAGGTCTTTGATATAATCATAGGAAGTAACTCTATAAATCATGCCCTGAAATAAGGTAAATACAAACAAATGAATATTTAAGTAAGTGGAAATTGCATTAAGTAAAAAAGCAACTTATCCAATTGGTAAGCTAAGTCTATATATACATACACACATGCTATAAATTCTAATGATATTAAATGAAGACTATTTGTCCTCATCTTTCAAAAATATGAATCATGCGTGTGTGGGGAGATCCCTAAGAAAATATCACGAATGAGTAGTTTCACAGAATTTTAGTCTTAATTCTAGAGAGTTAAATTTGTTATAAATTATGGGAAACATATCGGGGTTTTGATTTTGTTTGTGCATTTATGCACTTCTTTCAGTTTACTCTTTGTTTTCCATAAGAAATGTACCAAGCCTCCTCTACATACAATGATATCTACTGAGAATCTATGAGCACAGCAAAGAGAGTGGGGTGGCTACATTGTAAATCAACAGCCATATAACCATGCACCCCGCAACTCCCAATCTTGAAGAGTGATCTTCAAAGCATAATCTGACAGCTGTCTGCATTTATACCTGGCTCCAATTTCTATGGGCTCTTAATTTGGATCTACAGCTCAATACCTTTCTGACAATAACATTAAATTTATTCACATTGTGGAATATGGGCAGAAACAATACTAAATGTTTCACTGTGTGCTAATGATCCACCAGGACATGCAGAAGACTAATGCTTCATATTAATCTACTTAGGTGGTCTTCTTTGTTCCCTTTCTATTTATTTGAGGGAACTGAGATTTAAGTAGGTTTAGTGAGCAGGCATGGACTCTAATTCACAATCTGTCCTGAATCACAGGGGTGGCGGCACTGCACAGTACCTGTCTGTGCTTCCACTGAAAAGTAAGGCTGTCCTTCGAGGATGCTGTACACTAACTTGGCGCTGTTCCCGTAGGTGGGGTCATCTGCATCAGAAGCTGTCACCTGGATCACCGATGTTCCTTAGAAGGAAAATAAATTAATTAGTATCATGCCTTTGACACTTCGCATTACATTACTGTTCATAAAGTTTCCTTATAAAATTAAATCCAGAAGAAAGCCCCACAATTATTCAACATGCTCTCATTTTCCTAGGGCTGAATTTCAAAACAATCTTCTTTTCTTCTTTCTTTTGCTCTTTGATTTTCCTTTTTCATTCTCAGAGTTTAAAACTAAAATTTCTATATTCATAGTGCATCCTGGTATGCTTAACAATTTAAATGATGATATGAACATCATTGCCAAATATTCTGAGACCCATGCAATTGAAATGGTGAGTTTATCACACAATTAAATAAAAATCTTCCCAAAGAGTATAATAAATGATAATTAATGATGTATTACTTTTCAAGAAAGGACAGAGTACAATCCTCCATCTGTAGCATAGCAATAAACATATCATTTTATTGTTGCTTTGCATGCCATAAAATTGTTGCTAATACTATGCTTTAATTAATTTATGGCTATAAATATTGTACAGAATGTTGTTCCCTCCTGGTGTGAAAATTGCATTTTCCCACCTTTAACAAGCTTGGTATGCACGAAACAGGAACCACAAGTTGATACCTGGTGAGACCTAAGGCAGGCTTTTGTGGTTCAGCATTTCAGGAAACCAGGGAATTGTAGAAATCTGAGATTCGGATTATTTTCTCTTTAAAAGTCCCTTCTGTGTCTTGTGAGTCACAGCTCAGAAGTACGGAACTCGGAATGTTGGTTTTCAGAGTGAGGGAAGAGAGTTAAAAGGAGGGACTGGGCAATTATACAGTTTCACTGTTCCTGGCATTATTTGGGGGCACACTCTTTGTATACTGCCAACATTATTGTTTTATTAATTGCTTAGTGTTATGTTTGCCAGTATTCTCTCCTCCTTGGTATTTCATATCTACTTATGTGGGGCAAATTTGGTGTGCCAGGTATGACATTATACAATTTCTTTCACAATGATGTTTATTTCCAGAGTCAGCAATCTAAAGGCAATCAGACAAACAATGATATCCAAGTTCTTCTGTGAAATTTTCAGCAGAAAGGCAAGACAGCCCACTCACAGAGCTTCGAACTACTCTTTATAGGGATGTCAGCAACTTTTTTGCGATGTGCAAGCAAATCTCACGTCTTCAAATAGGTCTTGTGCAATTTACTATTTCATACAAATGACCCTTTCTGAGCTCCTAGCACAGGTCAAGCAGCATGCTAGCCAAAGGAGACTTACAAAGGAGAATGCCATTGTGGCACGCTATGGAAATCACTATTGCACTTAATTTACTTCTGGAACTCTAAATGCTTTACAAATCTTTGTATTTCACATGTATTTTAACAATCATCATAGCATACGTTATTCTCTTTTTGTAGGTAACAAAATGAAAATGTAGAAAGGTACAAGAAGACATCTGGGCCCACAAGGCTGGTTAAGTGTACAGCAATGAGTTACTCCTGGTCCTGTCTGACAATAAAGCCTGCATTATACTTCCCTGTACCATAATAGAGAGCCTGGGCACTGTCCCCCAGCACCAAAACCCGCCAGAGAGGAGAACAATAACAGTTCCCATTGAATACCCTTTATGATGCCTGGCTTTCCCAGCCTGACACCCCATGCCAGTGTTCAGTTCCTGACCCTACTATGCCCTATTCATACAGATTGATTTGGTGTTTGTCGTCTCTCATTAGAATCTGTGTATGTCTAGAAAGTAAAAGACTAGCCAGCAAAAGGAGGAAGAAAGGTGAGAGACAATGTGGTCTGACTTTCACAACATGTGAGAACTCAAGGAAGACACCATCATCTGCCACAGGGGCTCTACCTGCTGAGGGGACGGATTTAGGCTTCCAAGATCCCAGTCAGCTTTCTCGAGCAGGCTTGTCATAAGCAGTACTTGGTTTTCTTATTTGTAGAATGTTTGATTTTTCTCTGATGAGCCTTAAATTCATTTGAGCTCATCTGATCATATTAACTGCCTGCTCACTGGGCCAGGCAGATGTCTTGCAATGAGCCATACTCTTCAAAGACAACCATGCATTCTATCATCTCAGACAGAAGCTTTTGCCTAAACAAGGGGAGTAGTTACAGAAACCCTTCAAAAACATACTCTCACAACGTGATGTGTCTTCCAGTACATTGAAAATTCATATCTACCTCAGAATCAATGGATGATGGCATAGTGTTATGGCCCAGAGCACATTGTGGATTACTTAAAAGCAAAAATCACCCTGGATAAATTAGAAAACCTATTTCTGGCTTGAGTTTCCCATCTGTAAAATATGGCCTATTAGACCTACCTCATTAAAAAGATTAATCACAGCAAAATTAAATAATGTTGTGTGTGTAAGTCACCAATTAGCACAATGTCTACATGTAGCAAATATCACTGTTGCTCTTACTTACTGAACATCAGTATGTGCTATGAGCAGATGCATGTTATCACTAATCCTACAAAGCCAGGGACTGTTATTCTAATTACACAGCAAAGGAAACAAAGGTTAAGAGAATAGCTCTCACTCATTCTAAGTTACACAGCTAATAATACAAAGGGCAGGGTTTCCTGGACCCAATCAAATTATTTCTTTTTCTTTACTCTGGTTCTTATGGATAAATTCAGACTTAAAAACCTTGAGCCCATTTAAACATTTGAAGTTTCATCCCTTTAAGTGAACATTCTTTGTTGTTATGTTGGCCTTGAGGACAGAGCCTAAGTTCTACTTCCTGATTTGAGAAGACACGGCAGTCAAACCCTGGAGCCAGACTGGAAATGGAGCAGACCCTCCCTCTTACGCACCCACATTGGACCTTTCAGGCACGTTGGCATAATAGATCTCATGTAGAAACTCTGGTGGGTTGTCGTTAATGTCCTGGACCTTAACGATGAAGGAGGAAGCTGGCTCCAGGGGTCGGTTCGTTTCCCTGTCCACTGCTTGGGCCATCAGCGTATACTGAGCCTTCTCCTCTCGGTCCAATGTCTTGGTGGCATGAATGTTCCCTGATTTGTCATCAATCACAAAAATGGTTCCAGCTCCTTCACCTGAGAGAATATATTTAATCTTCCCATCACCAGTGTCAAGATCGGAATGAAGCTAGGAAAAGAGAAATCAAGATTTGTGATTTCAGCTGGTAGGCAGTAGAGGAATATAGACACACTTACACACTTGCATGATGATTGTTACATTACACACACACACACACACACACACAAACCTTAATATTTTGAGAAAAGCATACATATTTTTTAAAACTATACATGATTTTTGCACTGAGTCTTGCTTTCAGTTCTGTCATCCACTCCTCCATTCGGCTGCTCCGAAGACACCATTGTTAAGCTTGTTGTGACCCATCTAAGAAATATATAGTCTAGGCAGAGTGCACAGAGCACCTCTCCACCGAGCCATATACATTCTAATTTTTACATATCAAAGGGCCTCAAAGCACACATCAGTTCTCACTTTGCCATTTCTCTAACAGCAAATTCAGGTGCCCCTTCAGTATTACACGCACACAGATCTGCCTCACCTGGAGAGTGGTATTATTTCTTTTGGCAGCCCTCTCCAAAGGAAACCTAGGCTCTTCCCAGACTTTGTTAACTCCAAATAATTCACCTTATTACACCTTGCCAGGATTCCAGAAATGCAGCACACAGGGTCTGAAGATCTGGGGGTGTGCTCTTCAAGGAAAGAGGGTCCTTGGTAACCACAGGGACAGGTGGGTGGGATGGCCTGCTAGACACGCACCCACACCGTAGGAAGAACCTTAAATATCCTTGTTCTTTTCCCCATCTTGACAATGCCTAAAGACAAGATAACACTTCTCTAAAGACATACTTTTCAGGCTCTGGAAATCATACCATCTCTTTTCTACCAATCCTAAGCCATTTTGATTTGATTCTGTTCTGCATTTTGAAACACAGAATGCCCCTAAAGACATTGCATAATTTTCCTGCAGAAGTGAACTGCTCACTCTCCTCTGTTATACAATTTCAAATTCTGCAGCTGTCATATTAATCTGAATTCCTTGGCCCACATTATCCCCTTTGTGGAAAAGACAAGCATGACTTTCACTGTTCTCATAACTTTCTAGGGTAACCAAGTGAAATAAGTGCACAATTTTACATGCTACATAAGAAAAGTCACTTAAACTACATAGTTTTATCCAAATAACAATTAAAGTAATAAAAATAATGATTACTATTAAGTCAATTAATATTACTATATTATTATTGTAATTTCAATTATTACTAAGACTCAAGGCTAGCAAGCTTACTCTGAGTCACTAAGCAAGACTGGATACACTATTTTAAAATTCTTGCATTATTACAATTTCCTAAATGATATCTAATTGATTTGCAATGTTTCAGGAAAGATAAATATTTCAGCTTAGAGGGATATATGTATGTGTTAGTTATAATTATTATTTATATACACCATAGGTTTTCTTGGGGGGAGCACTTTCAGATCTTGTCATTTATAACAAGACACTTTTCCTGAAATTCTGACTGACACATTTCCTAAGAATAAGGTCATTTTGAGTGAGATATGAAGTTATCTGATGGCCTATAATTGACGGGCAGAATTACTTCTGTCTTCATAAAGACTTTCTCGTGCAACCATTATGGAAATCAGTATGGAGACTCCTTAGAAAAGTTGGTCTGGAAATCCCCTTTAAACCAGCTATTCCTCTACTGGGAATTTTTCCAG